CAAGCAGATGGGCAGTGTGGGGCTGTGTTTGTTTGATGCATGTTTGAAATGACAGTTTTTACATGGATTGCCTTACAGTATGTAACACTCGAGTCATAGGGGTCTGAGAGTTATACATGTCACACAAATAGACAACACATGAAGCAACCAACCAACCAAACAAACAAACAAACAAACAAACAAACAAACAAACAAACAAATAATTTAATTATAATGAGCCAGCATTACCATTTTACACTATTGAGATACAAAATATATGCAGCAATGAATGATTATTTGATCTGTGGTCTTGTTCCACATGGCTTGTAGATGGTGTTGACTTAAATGGAGCGAAGTTGATTTGTTTCATTATTATTTCATGGCCAGGTTGTCTGTTCATTAGTAACCTGTAGTAAATTGTGGGTTGATGGGGCTTCAGTCATCAGTATTTACAGCACAGGTGCTCAGTATTAACAGCTGCAGACACCAGTATTTACAACTTCAATCTCCGCTTTTTCCTGCATCAGGTCTGAGTATTTACACCTACAGTTGACAGTATTTACAGCTGCAGACATCAGTTTTACACCTACAGTTGACAGTATTTACAGCTGCAGACATCAGTATTTACAGCTGCAGACATCAGTATTTACAGCTGCAGACATCAGTATTTACTGCTGCAGTTTTCAGTATTTACAGCTGCAGTCATCAGTATTTACAGCTGCAGTCTTCAGTATTCATAGCTGCAGTCTTCAGTATTTGCAGCTTATGTTCTGTTGCTGTGCTAGGCCAATCTCGTGATTAATATGAACGTTATATCACAGCTAACGCATCATCCTTGCCTCACCGGCAGTTGTGATTACAGGTACGTTCACGGCAGAGACGTCGGTAAATTATGTGTATCTCCGGTCGAGCGCAGGAACCATTGTTGGTGGGAAATTAAAAGGAAAGGAGTGAAGATAATGGAGGTTTGGAGGTTTTAATGAACAATTGTCCACAGAGATAAGTTGGTAGTAATGCAGGCCACTGTAGACCGTCTGTTATCGGTGGATGTGAGACTGCAGGCAATAATAATCAGTGCAAGTGTTTCTGTCAGGGCTTTGCTTCCGTGTTTGTCTCACCAGTAATTACTCAGGAGGTTCGAATCCCCCGCAGGTCCGGATTACTGCGTGTGGCTGCAGAGATATGGCTGCAGTTTCCCTTATTACAGGATGAAGGAAGATTCAACGTGTTCCATCCCGGTAACGCGCAAGCTCTGGGATGTTGAACAGCTGATAGCGATCTGTGAAAGGAGTTTGTCATGCTCAAAACACCCAACTTCTGTACATGATGAAGAAATCTGCCTCAGGTCCAAATGAATTTTCAGAAATTAAAATGTTCAGTGTATAGTCATGTTAGCAGGGTTATGTGGTAAAACAAACCACCCTGTATGCAACAACATTAGCAAAGTAGATGCTGCCTTCTGTAGTCGTGTTTGACACAATTTGACGTGGTGGAAGATTCGGCCAACCAGAGTTAAGCGCAGAGAGGAGCCACACATGGGCGAACTGACGCAGGATGTCAGTACGGATCACATCTTTTGCTCGTGAGTTGATACCAGCAAAGTCTCAGACCTACACAAGAGATCTAGACTTCGGAACTGGTACTGTAGTTTTATATTGGTTTAAATTTTGAACAGTTGTTAGAAGGGTCGTATCTGTAATTCTGTCCTGCCACATGTGAAATGCACTGGAGCATCCTGTCAACATGCATTTGACACCAGACATGAACACATGTAGGCAGGGCAACAGGGTCTATCATGACCAATCACATTGCACCTTTAGGATATGATTGAGGACAGGAAATGTCAGAACCAATCACATTGCACTGTTGCAAGTGATGGGCACTGTCAAGGCCAATCACATCCTACAATTAGGGATATAATGGACACCAGCAAATGTCAGGACCAATCAGACCGCACCACTGGAATATGATGGACAACAGTGTCAATCACAATCACATCACACCACAGTGACATACAACGGACATAATGGCAGCAGAGCACTTAGGCAAGACCAGTGAAGGTCACAGACAATTAGATTTTAACTTTTACTAAGTCAAGGTCTCGTAGAAATCAGTTTCTAATTGAAGATAAGGATAGCAATACTGAATGCACACAAACAGATAAAGCCAGTTAAAACATTAATTCTTAAAATATTCAAAAGTAAGACTGATACATGTACTAGATGACTGTACAACCCAGCTGTTTTGAAGAAATGTTCATGCAAATATAATCATAATATACATGAAGTCATACTCCCCACACCCCAGCATAAATAAGGTAAAGGATACATTATAACATAATGTTCTTGTTGATGCAGTCAGTAAGAGCACAATTTCAGACTTAGGCAAGATTACAGACCAAGCAGGATGAAACACAGATTTGGATTAAAGAGGACTGAGATTGGAGAGACTTAACTGCAGGCTTTTAGTACCGGCAGGGAAAGTGTGTCTGTGACGTGTGGGGTGGAGAGAAAACAGATAAAGGTTTAGCCGACACTGATGTACAACCTGGCAGTCAGTGTGTTTTCCTATATGGCCATGGATGATAAACACTGAATATATGATCGTCTACACTGGAGAGAAACCTGGTGCTCACCAAGTGTGGGGGTTAGAATTTAGATTCAGACGGAGTTTCAGACTGGTGAGAAACCTTGGTGTCTGATGGTTAGGGTTAGATAGTAGACTCACAGTTAGGGTTAGGTAGGACCCACAGTAGAGAGAAACGCTGGCCCAAAGGTGATGGTTAGACAGAAAACATCTAGAGTAAAAACACTGGAGAGAAACCATGGTGATCCGCAGTGGAGATAAACCCTGAGCAGTGACCCTGGCTGGGGATTAACCTGTGCCCAGAGAAGCTGGACTTAAGTTTTTCTCATCCATCTTCTGTCTGCTGTGGGAGGATAAGGAAACCACCATCCTTCAGGGAAGATGACAGGGATTTCTCAGAGGCTTGAGATACAATCAGAAGACCTTGGACACGCTTCTTTAAATTTGCGTGCAGAGCTAAGACCAAGGTAAACTGTACGGGGAGTCTTACCGCTCCTAAATTAGCGGGAAATCCATGGAGTTTGAGGTAAGCTGGGAGGTGAAGAGGTGACCCCACTGGAGCCGAGGATGCCTGAAGACATCTCAGATCTGTCCTTAAACACATCAGAGCTGAAGATGGGCTGTAAGCAGAGCCTTGGAGCTTGGTAATCACAAGATAGGATGCCTTCCCTGAGACCAACTTTAGGGCTGGTTGATGCTGGCTGGGTGAGATAGATGGTCTTGGCCTGTTTGTGTCTGGGGTTTCCTGTCTCCTTAAGTGGTAGGCCCATGGAGGTGTAATTGCATGTCTGAACTGTTTGCTGTAATTTTGTTCTCTCCACCGGAGAGTTGTTTGGTACATCATGAGGATCCGGCAGGCTGGCAGAATTGGGGCTGGGTTATGGATGGTTGTGCTGGAAACCGAGAAGATACTTAACCTGCTCCCTGCTGCTTTACCTTGTAATCACTAAAAAGGCTTGTACTGATGGCTATTTCAGCAGGGAGAAGGTTAAGTATACCACAAGTGCATTATTCAGAGGCGTAGCAATGAATTGGTGGTTGTGGGGAGCCAGGAAAAGGCAGGAGGGTGTCTTAATGTTGTATCAGATATGTCTTATGACCCTTCCGCAACTGTAAGGTATACAACAAATGTATCAGGACACCCCAGAGAGTGAAAAGAGAAAGATGTTCATTTCGGTCTCTTCCTTCAGTCGTACAGTAAGGACCATATCCATAACGGCCTGCGAGCGATACAGATATCGACTTGGCGACTTTCTCCAGGCGTATAGTTGAGATCCCCTTTAGTAAGGAGCGTTGATGGATGCCTAACCCCTGCCCCAGTCCAAGGAGTGGTCCACTGTAAAAAGCAATCTCGTTGATGAATCTGTGTGCCGAACTCCCTCTCTGGCCCGATCAATACGGAGCTATCGCCCGGCCAGCCGAGATTGAATTTGTGCGGGGCTTGGGCAGGCCATTACCGGCAGCAGTGACATTATAACATCCTCCCAGCAGCGCAGATAAACACACATGATAAATACTCCCTCAGCAGCCAGATCAATGGGAGCGCTGGGTCATGCATCTTGTGTACAGGCTGTACATGTGTTCTTTTACAGGGTTGATATGGGTGGGTTAAATCTTACAGGCTGCAGGGTTGATATGGGTGTGTTCTCTCATTCTATGGGGTTAATGTGGGTGTGTTTACAGGCTGCATGGTAGATACGGTGTTTTCTCTCAGATTGCAAGGTTGATATGTGTGGTCAGTGTGGCTGGGAGTTGGCCGGGTTAGCTGATCAATTTATGATAAGCAGGAACAAGCTTAATTCAGTCAGTATACAAATGTACATAAGACTTAAGTAAGGTTACATCCAGTCTGCTGATAGTAAAGAGCTAAATGCTGGTAAAATCCGTAGTTGTGATGAAACATTTCTGCACCTCTGTTTGAATCAGCAATGTGCAGGAGAAGGATTTGTGTACGTACCTGATATTTCTCCAGCAGAGGTAGCTTCAAGCAAAGGCGGCTGCCGTAAAATCTATGTATGGTTTATTAAAGGCTGCAACAATCGATTTCAAGGCTCTCAACATTCCCGAGCAGACTTCAGGAGCTGCACCTGTAGGGTTGCATAATGCTGACTTGGAGTTTACTTGTATCCAATAAATCTGGTCATGTAATATTTTGAGATAACTTGTTTCGAAGTACAATGTTCAATCAAACTTGTACCACCTCTACTTATAGGGACTGCTTGACCAATGTGATCACTTTTTAAAATTTGTTGGTCCCTTAGATAATTTTTCCATTGACACAGGTAATTAGAATCCTCTATATAGTGACCACATAGACCCAATTTTGTCAGTCCCCTGAGTGGTCTCCTTAGACAGTTTTGACTTCTTTAGTTTAGTTGCATTGTCAAAAGTGTAGTTCTAAATTGATTGACCTTTGTTTTACCATGTGATTACAGAAGACGACCTCCTGAGCTGTAAGGAGGAGATCTTGGGGTGTATATATAGGTGTGCAGATTTCACAGGTAAGCATCTGAATCTAACATCAGTTCTGTAATTTGTGACTGTTGAGAAAGAGTACCGTGTGATGGGACTGCATGGAGCTGCTTGTGATTCTGGGCACACGACCACTTGTTTGCTGAGAACTGCAGGGTTCCTGGCAGGGTTCCTTGGCTTTTGTGCCAGCAAATATCACATCAGCATGTGGGTTTCATAGTCAGCTGTTCATCATTCTGATGTGAGGACATGCTGATATGAAATGTGTCAGTCTCTAATGTGTGTGTGTGTGTGTGTGTGTGTGTGAATGGAGAGAAGGAAGTTTGAAGTGTTTGACTTGACTTACGCTGACTCCCAGTTCTCCTCTGCCATTAAATCCACATTGACAGTCTTGAAGCTCCTACCTTCTGCCCCTTTGCCACCAGCTTGGATTTGTTAAACTTTACTGTTTGCATGCTGTTATTGTTGCAGTTGGCATATTTTTGTGTGAGCACAGGAAGGTACATCTAATCAGCTCATCATCGATAATATACTGTACTGTACATTTTACAGATGTTGATATGAAATTTTTAGAAGAATGTATGGATGGAGAGAGGTAACAGTAGTTGGAAGTGTTTATGTAGCCTGTTTGTGGAATGTTTGTGTACTGTTGATGTACTGCGGTTGGTATATTTTTCTGCATCACCGGAAGGTGAATCTAGTTCTCCTCAAATTAATCCCAGTGGAGAAGTTTGTTATTAGATTTTTCCAGAGTTCACCTTTGAAGGTCAAAGTGTTTCCCTTTCTTCCTCACTCAAGTCTCGCTTCAGTTCTGTGCAATTACATTCTGCACTGTCGGGGGAGTTGTCGTGATTAGATTTTGCTTGCTATTTCTGTAATGGGACCACCCATTTACTCGTTACCTGATGTAAGATAATCACTGCTGTTGTGTGTACTTTAAGTTGAGTACAGGTAAGGTTGACGCGATCAAAAGAAGCCGGGTTATGAAATGTAAGGTACGTCAGGAAACAGCCTGTTCTCATTGTCCCTTCAGAGACGCATACCGTAATCACACAGAAACACTTAGGCAATCGGTATTCTACTCCGCTTGCCGCTCTGGCGTTACTATGGCAACCCTGGCCTCCAAGCTCCTGGGGACAAAGGGAGCCTGACTGAAGGTCGTAGGTTTAGCCAAGGTCAAGTTGGCTGCTAGGCTGGCACAAAGCTGCTCAGGATTCAGGCATGCCTTTGATGTGGCGGATTGTCTCCCTCCGTCGCTTCGCCACATTAATCACCGTGTTGTTTGAGGTCTGTTCATGGCCTTCGCTACAGCCCGAGGTTTGATCAGCATCATTATTATTGCATCTACACATGAACATAAACTTAAGGCAGTCTGGTCTCTGCTCCAGAGTATAATCCAGGTTTGCGCTGAGGTCTGTATTGGGCTGCTCGAAGTGTGATGTACTCAGGCTACGCTCTACCCCATGTTTGTGCTAATGTCTGCACAAGTAACATGGCATGTGGCTTTGCCACATTATTCACAGCATTATAAGTTATTACCTGTAGCCCCTCCTGTCTGCTCTGCAACCCAGGGTTGGATGGATGTGATGTGATCCGATGCTCCATGATGAAGTCAAGGTCACGCCCTTCTGTAGGTCATGTCCATGTATCAGGGTTTGTCCGACAGACACGAGGATCACCCGAGGATCACCCGCCCACCCGTGTCCCATCCTGAGGAGGGGGAGGAACTTCAGGAGAAGCTTCTGATTTGAAGCTACATGCAAGACTGGAGGGTTTGTGTTTTCATCCCTTATCCTGTCTGTAGGTCTTGATGTAGGGTGGGGCTTGGGGCGTGGCAAGCGTTTAGTTAAAGCTGTGCTGTGTAGACTAGAGAATAACAGGTGAAATTGTATTTAGATCTGTAGATCTGATGGGTGGAGAGGGATGCATGGGATGATAAGGGGAAGAGGGGTATATACGTACAGAAGTGGGAGGGGGTGTGGTATCCCTATAGTTCTCTGTAAGCTCCTCTGTTCAGAACTATAGAATAAGATGTGAAACCATGTTCAATTCTGTATCTGATGAGAGGAAAGGGTAGGGTGTAGGGGGCCAAGGGGAATCTGAAATCCCTGCTGTTTGTCACTATTTATCAGTGCTTAATCAGCAGGTGGAAAATCGTGTTTCGTTCGGTACTTGAGGCAGTAGGTGGATTAGCAGCATCACCTCACCTCAGCCGGGGTTACCGGAGAGACTTAGAAGTGGAGATTACAGGTGATGGTTGATGTTGGACTTGTGTACGTGTGTAGTGCGTGTGAGTTGTGCACAGGAGGGCATGAATTATGCAGCATGGTGTCGACAGTCCCATTCGTCATGCCTGCTGGGGAGATAAGGAACAAGCGGGCAGCAAGCCGGGATTATAAATCTACCGTAGTGGTTCGCTGGTGATCGATGTAATGTCAAGGATGAACGGGACAGTAAGGGGGAGTGGGGCTCCTAGGTGGGAAGGCCTTTGGGGATGAGAGGAGGGTGTGGAGTCTAGGGCGATGGAGAGATGGAGACAAGCCTGGGGAGCAAGCCGGGATTGTAAATCTGCTGCAGTGGTTTGCTGGTGATCGATGTACATGTACATATGATGTTAACAATGAATGGGACAGAAGGGGAGGGGGTATGGAGGTGTCAGGGGGAGCAGGTGACATGTGGGGTGACATCACTTATTCACAGTCAGTAACTAAATTCAACATCAGGGTTTGTAAGACATGGGACCAGGTGTTGAGTGCCAATGGCAGGAAAAAAATGTCAGGTCAACACAGCGGTTTTTATTTTGTTCTTGTTAAGGCCACACCAATTTAATTTGTTGGTTCTCGGATTTTTTCAGAAAAAATATGAAGCGACAGGGCGAAAAAAAATAAAATAAAAACAGGTCTAGGCATCCTATTATAGGCTTAAATGCTATGAAATGAGCCATGAAGTCAACACAAAAGGCTGGGTTAAAATTTAAACATTGAATTTTGAACTTTTAATCAAACCACTGCAATGATAGATGGGAAAACTGTAACAACTAGGAAGAAAAGGACTTTCCTCAATTGTTTGGGGCAAAACATGAGCATTTTTCAGTTGATTCAGGACCAGAATAATTTTTTTTTTTTTTTGCAAATCAGAAAAAAACGAAGAGGCGAATCCGAGAACCAACAAATTAAATTGGTGTGGCCTAATAATGTCATTTCATTCCTTCAACTCTTAGTTGTTAATATTATTTCATCTATGTTATGTAAATTTTGCCCCGCCTGCCCCATGGACCTTTCCAAGAGCATGATTACCCCCTCAGCCAGGATGTCAGGCAGAACAACTCCTTAACCTTCAACCTGCTGCCTAACCCTGTAACCAGTACAAACTTGGTGCCATCAGGCTACCTCAGCAGGAAGAAGGGTAAGTTCTAGCCACCCCATGTGAGGTAGACTCTCTACATGATAGAGCCACCTGCAGGTAAGATGTGGGGTAAGTGCAGATATTATGATTTGTGGATAGCAGCATTAATAACGACCCTTCCAGGCACAGCCACGCGTGAAATTAGCTCGGCTGGCTTTTTACCCCGATTTCACAGGTCAGGATCTCCACTCGCCAAACAGTCCGCTCACGATGCTCGGGATCGGACATCGGATTAGATACGGTTCAATTTTGTCTGGTTGCGCGCCCGGGGGAGGCTATAATTATCTGGCTCTGGGACGACGGTTATGAATTATTAGGATGTGTCACGTGAGGGAGGGTGGAACAATCGGTGTACCGATGTTGCTCAGACTACATTATGTAGTACATATTACAGCTTAGGGTTCAATCCTCCCCACAGTCTCATGTGTTTGGTTAGGTGTGTGTGTGTAGGTAGCATATATGGGACTGGGAGCCAGGGCTAGTGTACGCACTACAGGAGAGCTGGTGGTTCCGAGACAGAAGCAGGGAAATGCTGCATGACTGAGGGTTCCTGCCTACAACCTAAGGTGAGTATTCGAGTGAGCGCATGTCGGGAACAGAAAAAGTGTTTACACTAAACTACAGTGAGCTTCTTTCTGAAGCTGATCCTGTAACCCTGGTTACCTCATTGTATACCGGTATTGTACATTAAGGTAGGTGTCAGTGCAGATGTTTCAGGACAGAGTCCAGCTCCCTCACAGCCTCCGATGTGGGTTGTTGTTGATCATATTTATGAGAGTGGGTATCAGGTTATTGTCGATATTTGTGACAGCATGTTCTATGGTTGATGTTATTGTTGATATTTGTGGCATCATTGTTGATGCTTGTGAGGGCAGTTTTAGAGGTACCTTTGCAAGAAGTCTGCATTAGCCCTCTGGCATAACTCGTCTCCTTGTGATGAACATTTGTACTGCGTGACTGGCTAAGAAAGGAGAGGAAATAGAGAAGGGAATCAGTAGCCTGTGGGTGTTTCACCGTAAGTGTAGCTTTAGTACAGTAGCACTGCTGACAGATAGGCTATTCTGGGAAGGAGATGGTATTGCTGATGGATTACCCTGTGATTTTAGTGGGAGAAAGCACTGGCTGATGCTGACCTCTCAGTTTTTCTGTATTATCCCAGAGCTGTTCTGGTGTGGGTTATTGTGTGCCTGTGCTGGTTATTGTTGTGTTTCGTCTGCTGGTTCGAGTTATTATTCCATATTGTGTGGGTTATTGTTGCATTTCGTGTGTGTGCAAATGGAGTACCTGCCATATTTATGACTGTAATGTTCCAATGTTAATCATGCGCCATAAAGGCTGCCTGCCTACATCTGTCTCAGGATTACTGTTGTCAAATCTTACTTAGTTTCTGATCCTACAGTCTATAGTCAAAGTAATGGTGTCATATTTCTCAAGAACATCCACCTATATGTACAGTCTTGCATTCTTCTCGAGAACAATTCATCAAGGACAAGGGAGCAAACTTGAATCCAAACTTTATTGTGCCTAATTTCGAATTCTACAGGTACACACTCAACTTGTAATTTAGTAGAGATATATAGATTCAAACATTTAACTTAAGGTAGTATACCAGGTAGTCATCTTT